TGTTGCTGGAAACCAAAGCCCTCAGGCCCAGCCTCTTTCCCTCCACCAAGGCTCCATCATGGTCCATGCCTTCCCTCCATGCCCCACTTACTAGGCCCTGCGCCTGTGATTGTCTCATCTCCTGCCTCCACTGTCACTGTCTTGATCATCTCTACCATCCGTTTTGCTACCATTTGGCAACAGACATGATGAGGGGGCTGGAGCACATGACCTACGAGGAGAGACTGAGGGTTTTGGGCTTGTTCAGTCTGCAGAAGAGAAGAGTGAGGGGGGATTTGAGAGCAACTTCCTGAAGGGAGGTTCCAAAGAGGATGGAGAGAGGCTGTTCTCAGTAGTGACAGATGCAGAACAAGGAGCAATGGGCTGAAGTTGCAGTGGGAGATGTCTAGGTTGGATATTAGGAAAAAATGTTTCCCTAGGAGGGTGGGGAAGCAGGAGAGTGGCCAACTGGGGCCAAGGTCTCTCTGTCACCACCAGACAGGGCCAGTGACACAAACCACCCCTTCCCCCGGAGGAACTGCTAGGCAGCACAGCTCTCCCCCTGGAGCAGCCACCAGTCAAGACCAGGCATCAAAGCCATGTCCCCTGCAGGCCGGTACAGGGAAGCTCAGCCCTGCCTGCTCCCTTCCTTCGGGAGAAGCCACCGTCCAAGCAGTGTGGCCCTTGGCGCCCCAGGCAGTGTCCATCACTGGTGTAGCGTGTCCCTGGTCACCACAGGTAGCCATCACAATCCCTCCCAGACCTCCCAGTTCTCTGCCTTGTGTCCCCTGGCCAAAGCCTCCCTCCCTCTGCCCTGAAACCTGCTCCCCTCTGCCCTGAGTCCCTCACCTACAGCCCCCTACCGTAGGTTTCCCACACTCCACCCTGTGCTGAGTCTCCGTCACTCAACCCCTGACTTGAGTCTCCAACTGACAAAGCCACTCTCACTCGCCCCCTGCCTTGAGTCTCCCACCACCAAAGCCCTTCACTGCATCGTACAACCGGCCTGTCTCATGCAGGGGGTGTCAGGCAGCTGAGAGGATTGATTGGGCCCCTCTGACCTGAAAGTGCTGCAGCCTGGGCAGAACCAAGTAGGGCACCAGGGCCTGAAGCAGCATCTCAGCGAACTGGTCGGAGGAGGGTGGGAGGTGGTGACCTCACACGGAGTCCATGGCAACGGGCCGATAAGAGGGGTTGCCCCTCTGCCTTTGCCACATGGAGTCTCCTCCTTGAGGTCTCTCCTTGGGGACTGAGAGAGAATTCAGGGCCACGTCCGTGAGCATGAGGAGGGGCCTCGATGGAGCTTTCTTCTGTCCCCCGACGGGTTTTGCTGCAGACAGATGTTCCGCTAGCGGAGGTGAGAGCCCCAGAGTGGGGACCCAGTCAGCTGAGGGGCTGCAAAAGGCCCTTGTGGCACGGCGGGTATGAGAAATATTCCATCAGGAAATGTCTGCTGAGATCCCCTTTCAAACACACGCTTCCTTTACACACCCTAACCCGATCCCCTTTCCTCAGACTCACCTGGGGCGCTTTTACTTTAAAAGAACCCCCTAGACCATTTCCCACCTGCTCAGAGCGATAGTGCATGTCACACCCCTGGGAGCCCTCGGGGAGTTCTGTGATCCCTTCTGTGGTAGCCATCCCTGGAGGCCTGAGTCACATGGACACTCTAAGAGGTCCTACCGGCGGCTAAAGACCTCCACATTTCTTTTATTGGCATGTTCTCTGAAATCTCTCCATGACTCCAGCCCTCACTTCATTGTTCACATCAAAGAAGTGCTCACCTTCTTGCTTACGCACTGTCTCAAAAGCTGTGTGTAAAACCCTTTCAACCTCAATCTATTTGTAGTTTTTGAGGAATTTGCTTAAAAGAGCTTAATTGCCTTTGCCACCTCTTCCCCAGTCTTACTCTGTAAGGATGTGACCCATGCATGCTTAGCCCAATTGTCTGCTACTGGGAAAGCATATTTAGAGCCATCTTTGTGGTTAGAAAGGTTGGCCATATCTAGCTAATCCACCTGCCATTGCATGTCCAATTGGACACAACCATATGTAACATGTAAGCATCTTGATTCAGAGACCAAGCTGAAATCTGCTTTCTTCTCAAAGTTTTACAACGTTTTTAGTGGTCCTAAATATGGGTTTTACATCACCAACTCTCAACTTCTCCAGGAAAGTTATCTATCTATCTATCTATCTATCCCCACCCACCCCATCTATCTATCTATCTCCACCCTCCCCATCTACCTATCTATCTATCTATCTATCTATCTATCCCCACCCACCCCCTCTATCTATCTATCTATCTATCTATCTATCTGTCTGTCTGTCTGTCTATCTATCTCCACATACCCATCCACCCACTCTATCTATCTGTCTATCTATCACATTTGGTTCAGTGAGAAACGTCAGATCTGTGACACCAAATTCAACTCATGGCACATGGTATTTAAGTAAAACCTGTGACATGTTACAATCTTTATGTCTCTTTCACATGATCATTACTCATCCATGCACACATGGATGCAGCTCCTCAGGTCACTGACCGTTGCACCAGTCACGTAGAAGATTGTATCTGTAAGGCATAAATGCAAGTAGCTTCACTGGTGCGGTATCACTTCCATGCCCCACGACAAAGAGTCCCCTGGATTCCCTGTAGCACTCAAAAGGGGCATTGCTAGGTCTGTAGGTGGGGTGGGGTTTTGGCAATAACCCCCTGTCACGTTATTGGATTTTAAGGGAAGCAGCCAGATCACTGCTGTACCCATGGGAGGGCTGTTTGCCTCAAAATCTGTACAAAGGGGGCCATGTGAGGTGTCAAATGAAAGCGTATGTTCTACTGATTCTGAGTATGCTACTCATGTACTTGTGTGATGTCTGTGTGTGGAGTTATGAATATGGACTCTGTGCTTGTACTGTGGATGGTCTCTGCTTGCAGTAAGGAAGGACTCTCTAGCGACTAGGGGAAGGATAGCTCAGTGGTTTGAGCATTGGCCTGCTAAACCCAGGGTTGTGAGTTCAATCCTTGTGGAGGCCATTTAGGAATTTGGGGCAAAAATTTGTCAGGGGTGGTACTTGGTCCTGCTGGGAAGGCAGGGGACTGGACTTGATGACCTTTCAAGGTCCCTTCCAGTTCTAGGAGATAGGCAATCTCCATTAATTTATTTGAATGGCTGTGCTAAGTAGCACGGCTCCAGGGACAAAGGCTCTCAAGGTGCCCAATACACACCTGAGGACTGCGTCTGGGAACATGCAAACCAGCCAGGGCAAAATGGCTGCTGCATGTGAAACAGAGATAGGTCACTCAACCATGTGACCTGCTCCACTGGAGAGACACCAGCAATGGATAGAAATTGCAATGAGGCGGACTCCATTTTCTCTTCAATCCTGCTGCTGATCCCAGCTGCAGCCTTGCAAGGGACAGAGAGACGGGAAGGATTGCTGACCCATCCTTACATAGGATGTACACCAGAGACTTTTAAGCTAGCAGTTTGTAACATCTCTGCTGAGAGCCTGCATTGAGAACTTGGTGATTTGGTGCATGTGATGTATTCTCCTTAACAACCTTACTCTCATGCTTTTCTTTCTTTTATTAATAAAACTTTAAATTTCAGATTCTAAAGCATTGGCCCAGCGTGATCTTGTGGGTAAGATACAAAGTGTAAACTGACCGGGGAACTGGTTCTTTGGGGCTGGGAGGACACGTTCGGGGTAGGTGAGATTGGGTTCCATAACCCCTCAGCTGTGTGCAAACCCAGGGTGGATTGGGACACAGGGAGAGCTGGGGTGGCAGATGGGTTTTGCTCGTGAGTCTTCCTGCTGGCTGGATTGGCAGCTGGAGTACTCGGTGTGATTGGTTTGTGACCTATTTGAGAAAGGTCTCCAGTCCGGGGCTATAAGCAGGCCTGGTTTTGAGCAATTCAGCCTGAGTGGACACCCTCAGTGGTGCCCAGACTTAGCCTGGTCCGTCACACATGCCCCCCTCTCCTGCAATGAAAGGTAATTCTAGTTTGGTCATCTTGGGTGTTATGGTCACAATTCCAATTTTTTTCCCCCACAAGTATCTACTGTTATTGGGCACGTGGCAATATAGCCAATGTAAATGAAACTGTTATTCTTACGTTACCAGATCTAAATAGACAAAGGACTCCAGTGTGTCATGCCTACCAGTACTAGCCATGCAGCTGAAAACAGTGTTAAAATCAAATATTTGCCTTTAAATCTAATTCACAATGCCGCAACTAAAGTGCGCTCTGAAGTTTGGGGTGGTAGCAGTTCACGTGAAGTATTCACCGCACCAAAAGGAACACATATTCCCAAACCGAGGCTATGTCTAGAATACAAAGTTTTTGCGGGATACCTCTGGTATCCCGGAAAAACTCGCCGTGTCCAGGGAACACATGTGGAAGGGCAGACACGCTTTTTCAGAAGCCCTGTAAAGCTCATGTCACGAGGAAGAAGGGCTCTTCTGAAAGGAGGTTTTTCCAAAATTTGGTCTACAATAGACAGGCAACATTTTGGAAAAGCCTCTTCCAACAAAACTATCGGAAAAATTTGCGTACCTTTTCCCGATAAAACTCAGTAGTCTAGATGTAGCCTCAGCGTTAGCACATGCTGAATGGAGCCAACCAGGGAATTCCCACACCAACCGTCTGCTGCTAAAAA